GACTGCTCCATTGAATGAAGGTGATTTTGCCTGTATTGTACCTGTTGTTAAGCACACTGATTTTAAAGTGAGACAAAACTTCATTTGTGACCATAATTGACAAAAGGTACCTTATGGCGGATTTGAAAATTCATCATTATAATGAAAAATATCAACCTGTGAGTGCTCTGTTAAACTAAAATTGTTTCTAAAAGTTAGATAGCAACTTTTGCATCCTGTGGAGTAATTTTATGATAAATGGAGCTCAGGAAGATGATTTTTTTAGCTATAAAGACAAATTTCACTACCCGCCATAAGGTACCTTTTGTCAATTATGGTCACATTTATTACTGCTTTGTACTGTCACTTTTGCTACACAATATATACCGTAGTTTAGGGAATTTATGTGGTAGAAACTTTTGTGTTTTTAAATAATGCTGTTATTTAATTTTACCAAATAAGACTGTGTCATGTATTATTGAATGTGGCATATAATTATGTAGGTGATCTAATTTTTTTTGGAATTCTAATCCAGTGAAATTAAAATCACAGTGAAAAATTTTCAGATCGATGGTATATTATGTCTTTTACATGTATGTGTACTTCAGTCTTCAACAATTTTAATGTATTTCTAATTTTCTTTTTATCTTAAATTTTCTTTCCCTCAATCCCCCAAGCCTCTTGAAGCCTCTGGTTTGTATGAGTTGGCTCAGGTTCAGTTGCAGTCTGGTAATATTGAAGTTGCTCTTGACTATCTATCTGGAGCTGTGCAATTGTTTGCTCAAGTCTTTGGGCCACTACATGTCAACATAGCAAACTGTTATAAGTGAGTGGTGTCATTTAAGTACTTATATATTCCATTGTATTATTATATATGGAGTTATTGCACGAATTCATCATGCTCTAGGAGACAGTAAACTAGTAAGTGGTGCATGTAACTACATGTATGTGCATGCCATGTACATGTTAATGTATTGACTGGTTGTACTTGTAGTTTAGTTGAAATGACTGATACCAAGTTAAGATGTTATGCATAATCTAAAGTTTACCCACTTTCACCTGATCCCTGGTTGTTATCAATTTTTAATAAAAGCTGAATTTGATTTGGCTGTTCTAGCTGCGTAATTTTGGTCAAGGTACATGTATGTCATTGAGATTATAGAGGGACATCCAAAAAAGGCTAAGGCCTTGTCATTTTGATCTGTTCTTTTCTAAGGACTGGAAGGACCTAGCAATTCTAATGGCACAAACAAAATTTCTAAATTCCTGGATTATCAAAAGTTATTATAACAGTGTAAAAGTATTACTATAATTGATTTCACCACCATGCATGTACAGCTGGGTTCTTATTAAAACTTAAAGATGTTTTCTCTACCTTCTAATCCTGAAAGGTCTTGAGACTGTACATATGTTCTTTTGCTTAAAAACTTATAACTTTGTCCTATGTGTAAGCCACCATTTTGTTTGCTCTGACTACTTAAAGGAGCGTGGGAGGGTGTTTGCTAAGGCTTATGAATTTTCTTATTTCTCCAATACAACATGTATAAAAGAAATGTAAGTGTGGACATACAAATATGCAAGCATCGCATGTGGGTGAAATCAATTATACATGTAGGAACGACAAGGGGACTACACCCCCAGGTCGTTCAAAATCACTAAGTCAAATGAAACTCAACAGACTTTAGTTCAAAACGCTTTAAAACTTTATTAATATTTTAATTTCTTTACAAGGTAGCAATTAATTATTTACTCAATTGAAATTTAATTTTAAATTGACTTGCTACATTTAATCTCTCTCTTTTTTCATCTTCAGGCAATATCATATCAGCACAAAACTGTCATTATGTATGAGAGACTACTAGGAGTGGACCACTGCAGCTCTATATCAGCCTATGTTAGTTATTAATAACTGGCCACACACACAATATTTATTATAAATTTATCGCACTATTAGTTCCCCACAATGCATGCTAAGTGAGCTAAAAGGCATGCTTTATTGAGCTGACAAGCCTTTGAAATTCATAAAAAATTCAAATTTGATTGGAATGAGCTCAAACTTTGGAACATCATTAGGACATGTATATGTATCAGAAACATGTCTCTTGAGCAATTTTTGGCAAAATTTGGTCAAAAACCAAATTCTTTGGTATTGGCCCCTTTTTTAGCAAAATTTAAAAATTAATGAAAATCTGAATTTGATTAGAATGAGCTTCAACTTTCTGTACAACATATGGACATGTTATGAGAAAATTATAAACACAGAGAATTTTCTCCTAAGTTGTTTTTGGCAAATTCTGGCCAAATACCATGTACCATGTCTTTGATCCAATTTTAAAGCAAGTTTTAAAATTTATAAAAATCCAAATTTTGACTAGAGTCTGCTTAAAATTTTTACACAGTATTAGAACTTCTATATGTATCACAAAGTTTAATAAAAATTTTACCTTTGCAATGTTTGATTAAATTTTGGGAAAATACATTGTGAAATATTTTATCAACATTTGGAACAACTTTAGAAATTCACTGAGAGCATTATGTCAAAATCCTGCGGAAAACCATGATCATGATAATTTCAACAACTAAGCCCACCACTGATTTTTTTCTTTATATAGTTCCATTTGGCTTAGTATTGCTGTGGGGCTGAGAGGAATGTTGTGGCGTTGAGATTACTGTATAGAGTTAGGTATCTAATAATGTTAAGACATGGTGAGGATCATCCTGAAATGTCTAATGTTGATGTAAGTATTGTTTTATCAATGTTCTCTTGTTTCATCATACACATGTACATGTATTGTTTAAAAGTATTGTAAATTTTGTATCATAACTGTTATTATTTATTTTAATTACATTGAGTAGTTTTACATTGGTTTACTACTGAGTAATGCTGGTCATTATGAAGAAAGTCAGGCATATCTGGAAAGTGCTCTTAGATTACAAAACAAGTGAGCTAGTATATACAAATCAAGAGAATTAAGGCTGGCTATGTTTGTTCTTGTATCTGTTCATTAGGTTTCATGGAAGTCAATCAATTACTGTAGCCACAATGTTAGTAATGATAAGATACATGTACATGTACATCTTATCTTATCGTTTTCTCATTGTTTTGCCTCCTCCTTCCCTCCCCCCTCTCTCTTTCCCTCTCTCTCCATCCCTCTTTCTCTACCTCCCTCCCTCTCTTCTCTAGTCATCATCTTCTTGCCAACTCATTGACTCACATTGGAGCATTTGCTGAAGCTAAGCAAAATAAGAGAAAAGCATACAATATCTATAGGACTAAAGTATGCAGTAATGTTAATGCCAGGCCATCTAGGTTTCTTAACTGTTTTCTCTCACATTTAGTTTGGCCCAGATCATGCACGTACTGTTCAGTCTTTTAAAAAACGTGAGGTATATCACTGAAAAGCAAGTCTCTTATGAGCAGACTGTAAGTGTAGTTAGCTAACTATTGCCAATGGTTAATTAAAGTTTTTTACCGAAATTATCTTGTTCATATGTTGTCTTCATAAAATATAAATAATTATTGTTTCGAAAAAGAAAAAATTAATAGCAATGCCAAGTGTAACTACTTGTAAACACCCAAATTCACACATGATGCGAATATCAGTAGCCTGAGCTAATTATTATAAACACTTGATCTTTGTATATAGTTATACATACTACTGTATCAGATATTACAGGTACCAATATTGCACACTCAAAAATTTATGTTAATGCCGTCACCATAGTATGAAATTAATGTGGTAGAAATTTAGGTTTCAAAATTTTGTGATCTAATTTTTACGTAGTAAAATTATTGAATATGGCATGTAATTTTATGTGTGATATAAATTAAAGGACAAAGCTGACTATGGCATGGTACAGCTTTCAGCTGTGCAATGCTTTTGCAGATACAAGTCAGCTTGATTTTATTATATAATTGTTTTCCCTCCACTCACGCCCTTAAGTGTACATGTCCTACATCTTTTACCTTGCATGTGTATGCTATGCACCCTAATGCTCAAAATAAATAAATGAATCAATCCAACAAGTCATACAAGGCTTGCCTAAGCTGTGGCTTAATAATCACATGCATTCCATGGTGTCTACATGTATACATTTAATATGCCTTTTAGTCAAACTTTGTTGAATTCATCATTTTCTAATAATTATAATTTTGATGAAATTTATCTCATTTAGCCTGAAATAAATTTTGCTGTTCATTCACACTATGACACTCAGTTTATGTTTGTGGCATGCACTTGCACTGACACTATATACAATACTTCTCACTTTATTCAACACTATTATGACAATATGTAGTGACACAGGCTTGCATTTGCAACTTGCATGAATAAATAGATCATTCTAGAGCCTTTTCTAATAGTAATCAATTTATTTGCTGTCACTACTCATACTGGTAAATCCTATCAGTATTACCCTATCTTTAATATTCTTGTACATGTACATAGTTAACTTTGAAATAGCCTACATGTCAGTCGATTCTAACTAAAATTAACATTTATTATTACCATACACATTATATGGCGACATATTTTGGTGGAAATGAGTTGTTCTGAGTCTACTCTGATTTGAACATGTACACTTATGCTCCTCCCTTATCTACTGTAGGTTGCCTAAATTTTCTTGCCAGTTATTTGAATGTTACATCATCTAATCGTTTAGCAGTGCAGAGTCATCATTAACTGTGAGTTAGTAGTAACTGGTAATGATTAAAGTATGCATGTACATTTATAGATTCTGCTTCTACATGTACATGTACAAGATTGTTTGTTATTTTCAGTTTTAATAACACTCCTGCCATTCTCACACCTAGCATTTAATACAGTTACTGTAACACACACATGCAGGTGATACCAGTCGTAGCACACAATATTCTTTAGAGAAATGTTGTAGCAGACAACACTTTGTGATGATTGATATTGAATTAGTACATTTTACATTAACGTGGCCTACTCTAATAACTGCCTTTTATTTCTCGTTGTTGACTTGTACATATGATTAATAATTTTTGCTTTTTTTTGTTTTTCTGTATTTTGTAAATGTGGTGGTATGTGTGTGATGTTTGAGAGTACCGTTGTATGTACCATTGTGTGATTGTGTTGTATGTACCATTGTAATAAAGATGAGAGTGTTTGGTTACATGTACATGTACATATCTTCTCCTACAGTCCTAGACTTTATATAATCCTTATAGTTCATTAATCTGTTTTATTTCTCTCTTTCTTTTTTGTGTATTTTTGTTCTTTCTGTGTTATGTCTGTTTAATTTTTATCAGATAAAATTAAACTCTCATTTGGTCTTATTTTATGCACAAATCAACAAGTAATTGTTATGAAATTGGAGCTTTATGTGTTATTCTTTTTCAAAAGCTAGTAATGATAAACCAAAGTAGAAGAATGTAAAACATTGAAGGGCTCAGCCCCTGAGCCACTCTATTGTTGTGCTTTATGACCCATCTTACTGCTAGCGAAGTATTTGGACTCAGTTTAGTCTAATCTTGCTGAGCATTTGCTGCAAATAAGCCCAGACTTGCTGATAGCCGCCATTTTAATTCATTGTGACCACACCCACTTTTAATGAAGATTAGGCTACTTAACTTTAGTATTAGTTGGACGACCCTATCCCCGTACAGACAACATCTTTCTCGTCGTAGTGGGCTTTGCTCAATTGCCGTAAAAGTAATGTTAATTTTTAAAACCTCAAAGCAAAGTCTAAGGTCTTTCTAAAATCGTGTGCACTGTCACATCTATTATTAATATTTTTATCACAAAAAATTGTTTTCTTAATACTATGCAATTATTAATTCATGTTATATTTAATTTTTAATGTAAATTGCTGTGATAAATCAGATCCGTATTGTGTAGTCAATCTCTGACTGAAAGTGTATACTTGTGAAACAATACACGTTTTATGCAGTCACCACTTCTTTTGCATGAGTTAATTAATGTGTTCAGGCATACATGTACAAGTAGGGCCACTACTGTAGTTAGAGAGTACTCAACGTAAAAATTTGTACTCTTTAATATTTTGTGGCTTTGTTCTAATACATTCATGTAATTTTCATTTGTGAAAATTAGTTTACAATTTGGATAGTTTTAGTTTTTGAGCTTTCTGAGACCTTTTGTCAATGACTATACCAAGATATAGTATATAGTTTAATAGGTTAATTGTAAATTTACTACATTACATAATTAAAAAATGACATTTAGTAACTCTTGTAAGACATTACAACATATTTTTTGATCAAATTAATATTAATAGTGCTTAAATTGGGTTCATTTTTGTTCTTTTAATTCACAGATTTATCTCAACTATCTGGCAATACGAACTACAAATTTTGTTATTTTAATAGTAACATCCACATGGTCATAAATAATTGGCTATTGTCTTTACTGCTTTAGGTTTGCGTTTTGTTACTTTTTTAGCAGCAAAAATTACTTTTTTAGCACACTTTTTTAGCAGCAGTGAGTGGACAGGGCCGTCCGGGTCACCAATTTAACGTATGAGTATATGTGTGTTGCAGCTAGTGATAGGGAAGCAGATATGCTGCTTGCCATAGAGCGCTCACATTTACCTCGAGTTGACTTGACACTCAAACACTGATCAATTTTAAAACACAACATGCAATATATATTAAGAGATATCATGAATATGCATGAGATGTGATGTCATGAGTTCACTACAACTGTATCTATTGTTACTAGGAGAAGCAACTGATGGTGAGACTAGACCTGTAGGAAGAGGAACAGCTACACGTAATAGTGAGTTCTTTTAAGCTAGCAGTAAGTGTATCTATTGTTACTAGGAGAAGTAACTGATGGTGATACTATAGCTGTAAGAAGAGGAACAGCTACACGTAATAGTAAGTTCTTTACGCTAGCAGTAAGTGTATCTATTGTTACTAGGAGAAGCAACTGATGGTGATACTAGAGCTGTAAGAAGAGAAACAGCTACACGTAATAGTAAGTTCTTTTATGCTAGCAGTGAGTAAGTGCATGTCTCGAGCTGTGTGGAATGAGGTATGCAGCTAGTACCAATAGCTCAAAATAATATCAGGGCAAAAGAGAGTGTGTGTGTTTGAGAAAATTGTTACGTTTAAAGTTTAAGCTAACTGAGTAAAAGTTCTATTAATGATTGGCACCACCCATTTTGTGGCACTTGTTTTATCTAGGTACACTATACTTTGCCATCTCATGAAACTGCAAAGTAATATAGCAATAGTTGCCCTTTATTTTGCATGATAAGGTCTACCCAGGGCCCTTATCTCTCACCTTCATGAATGTTCTCTGTTTTATTTCTGTCTTTTTGTGTGTTTTTCTTGTTCATGTCTTATTCTTATTTGAAAGCTAGTAATGATAAACTAAATGACTGTAATGTTAATTTGTACAACCTCAACTCAATGTCTGAGGTTTTCCTAATAGTGTGTGCAATCTATTATTATTTTTTTATAACAAAAAAGTGAAATTGTTATTTGCAATTATTATAATTTATTTGCTATACACATGTACATCTATGAAATTTTTAATGTGATTAATTGTGTAGCCAACATTGTTTGTAGTGTATACTTGTGAAACAATGCACGTTTTATACAGTCACCTGTTCTGTTGATTAACTGCTGACAGACAGACATACATGTACATGTTGGGCCTCTATTCTGTGGTTAGAGGTACCCAATTTAATAATTAGTACTTTTAATATTTTTTGTCTATTTTCTACTGCATTCATGTAATTTTGATCAGTCTACAATTATGTTTATGAGCTTTTCTGAGACCTTTTGTCAATGGCTACACCAAGACATATATGTACATGTAATATGTAGTTTTGTATGTTGTGTTAATACTACATCACATTTTTCAAAATGATAACACGTACAGTAATTCTTCTGAAGACATGACACTAATTTAATATTAATAGGCCATAAATTGGGTTTGTTTTTACACTTATAACACTTTTGTCTCCTCTTTCTTACTCACATTACAGATGCAGAGATAGCCGTTACAGTTGATGGTACATTAAAGGTAAGATTGATTCACACTATTATTGAGATAAAGGAGTTGACTGATCTATTTAGGTCTTCCAGTCCATTCTCATTGACTTAATTGCAGACTTCTTACTAGCTCTTGTTGTTCACAGAGACTCGTGGCAGGTAATGATGATATATTGTGTAGCTACATGTAACATGTATGTCGTACATAGTAGATGCATGTAGATTGGAATAGATATTTTGGGCAAGTTGCTTTTTAAAAATGAAGGTTCGGAAATTAATAATTTTTTACAAATGTTTTACCATGCCAACGTCTTAAGTTAAGGTTTTGGTTTATAGGTAAAATTTTATTTGCCTAAATTTCTACTTGCTACCGGGCTTGGGGCAAAGTACATGTACTCTAAGAAGTATTTAAGTACATTACATGTACCTGTTAAAATTTTAAAATGAGTACAAGTACAAGTCCCTCATTTTTGCAAATTGTATTGAGTATGAGTACGAGTACTCTATTGTAGTACTATTTAAGCATTTGACCACACTCAAATAATTATTTAAGCCTGCTTGATACCTATGTACATGTACATGTGCATACAGGATGTGTAGTTCTTCATTTCAAATGTACGGTATGTAATTTTACTACTTTTGTTTCTTGAATTCCAGAAATTTGCATTTACATGTTGTACAATGTACATGTACATGATCATTAAGTAATTTTTCATCTTTAATTGATACAACTGTATAACATACTGTGTGTACATGTAGATATATGATGCTATTGTAATTCATCCTTGTGAGCCAGGAGTAACTGAATGGATCAATGTCTACAACCTAAAATGGTAAAGTGATTTATTGATATTTACGATAAAGTACTAGTACTACCAACTTAATTTGAACACTTTTAGGTGCGTCTTGTAGTGACGGACCAGTTCCTGATCTTTGTTGGACGGGACAGGGTCACCACTCCCTTGTATATCAGGATTTGTGTATTTTAATGGCATTAATGGATATATACCGTAAAGTACAAGTATTACCAACTTAATTTGAACACTTTTAGGTGCGTCTTGTAGTGACGAACCAGTTCCTGATCTTTGTTGGACGGGACAGGGTCACCACTCCCTTGTATATCAGGATTTGTGTATTTTAAAGTCATTTATTGATATTTTCGGTAAAGTACAAGTACTAACAACTTAATTTGAACACTTTTAGGTGCGTCTTGTTGTCACGGATGCTTGTGTTAAAGTTAGTTGATGTCATGTACATGTAGCTATAATTTTTTGACTGTTTTATCATAGATTGGCTACAGGCAAGGACAACCTCAGCCTGACATGTGTTAATCATTTGATTGTTGACTGTTGAGTTGGGGGACTACTGTTTGTTATCCATTGTACCTGTTGAATGGACACAATGCAGTATCAGTAAGCCTTTTCTAATACATGTACATATAATACCGTATGGCTGGTAATTTTTGGGTCCTGTATTTCACAAAATCTACTAACAATCCAATTCGCGGATTTTAATTTCGTGAATTCTACCACGTGTACCATGCAGGTACCGTATTAAATTAATTTTCGTGAATCAATAAGGAATCCGCGAAATCCATGAACTTTGCAACCCACGAAAATTACCGGCTATACAGTAATGTCTGTCTTTAAATTATAAATACCGAAACTTAAAAGGAATTAAAATGTTGTACCGCTTGTGCTGCTTTTAAATTTTTACCATGCACTGTTTATCAATTATGCATTGAACTTCAAATATTTTGTGCATATCTTTTTATTCTTTAGAAACTTACTTGTTCTAGTAATTAGGTAATTTTATCTTCCTTCTCTCATTCCAGACTCGGTAGCAATGGAAGTTGATGTTCTCGTTTTCCTGGTGTATGGCAGCTTAAGTGAAGCATGGATTTCAACAAATAAGCGAGTAGGAAACTTGCCATTATTGATTCTACCAGATAGCACTGCTATTTTTCCATTACTAAATGCAGTTTTGTTTTTATTGATAATTCTATTTATTGTAGCTTTTGCGAGCAAGTGACAGCATTAATGTTTTGCTATAAATATAATATTGCATTAATGAATATTATTACAGTCTCCATGAAAATGATTACTTTGTTATGAATTAAAGTTTATGATAATTTAGTCTCACATGATTAAGTGAGAAGCAGGAAGGGAATACGCTAACTTTGCACACGATGAATTTTGTTCTGAAAGAGTGAAGGTGATGATAAAACTTTGTATATATAGATGGCAAAAAGCATCTGTTGAACCTAAATTATGACTAAAATTATTATTATAGGCATATAAAATAATATCTTATGTTTGATGTAATACACAATAGTCTCTAGAGCTTTTGTTTTATCCCCTTTTGACTTCATCACAAAATAAATGTGTGATTTGACCTACTTGGTGGTAGAAGTATTCACCTGGAGCTCATCCAACTGAGAACTTGGCTCTAAATGAAGTGCAACTCCTCACTATCAGTCTTCATTGCTAATGGCCATGCTTATTCACATGTGTAGATTATTCATCATATGCTCTATGAGTCATATTTGGCGTCAAGAGCATATGGCACATCAATATCACTTCCTGTTTGTTATCTATAATGCAATTAATTTGAGTAGGTGCGGCTATAAGACTGTTGACTGTTCACTTTAACTGTGTATCGCAGTTTTATCCAAGTTACTTTTGTTGGACCTTGTTTAATAATTGAGGTAGAATTGAATGTTTCTAACAAAGATGTATGATGTATCTATAGAAGATGCCAAAGACACGAGCTAAGACAGGAAAAGTTGACAGGAGGACCCTAAGAAAAGAAAGATTTCATCATTTGGGAAAGAAAAGTTGGGAAAAGGTATGATTTCATGTAACTCTGTGTTAGTTAAGCATAGCTAGTCGATGGGAATGGTCTATAGAAGAGTTGCAGGGGAAGTACATGTAATTAAGGAGAGCAGTACCCTTTCCTATACGCCTATGGCGTCGGTGAGGGCAATAACGAGAGTTGTGGCTCATTGTCAATCATCTTAAGTGGAATTGAAGGAAAAGTCTTGTTATGAGATGAAGTAGTACTACATAATGGTGTCACTAGGCACTATTATACACATATACAATTTGACCTATCTATGTAGGCAGAAATTAGTACCAAGTCCTATTTTGTCCCTACAACACTATAGAGAAGAATTAGTGCCTGCTGCACTGTTTTGTTCCTACAATACTTAAGGGAAGAATTAATGCTTGCTGCACTACTTTGTCTCTATAATACTATGGGGAAGAATTTGTGCCCTCTGCACTTTTTTTCAAAATGTAACAGCACTTTGTTTCCCTCATATACTGTAGTGGAAAATTTTGGAGGGAATTGAAGTTGGTGAACATGGCATTTTGATAGCAAAACTCCAAAATAAAATCCACCATTTCAAGCCATTATATGCATGCTCAATGGTATGTGACCACAAATTTGCCAAATTAAAATTTGCCAATTACCAATATATAGTAACTTGCCGAATTCAACTCCCTCCAAAATTTCCTGCAAAATGGGATAGCTACGCAACATTTATCTGGTCACCTTTAGCATTCCACCATGCATTTTGCAAGTATAATTAGCTACATAGACCAATACAACAACTTTGAACATTAAATAATATACATTTGTTAACTTGTTTGTAATAATCAATGTAGTTCGGTAACATATTCTGATACATTGCATCATGATTTTCATGTCATAGATGGGAATGGCATGTAAAATATGTTTTTGAGACATTCAATCATGTGTTGTCTCATGTGTGACTGATCGAATATATTGTTAGCAGGATCATTTCCATAAAGAATAGATACTGCGTATGCTACTGCAAAGCAGGCACATTCCTTATCACCTTTTGCTTCACCAACCACGGTACTTTTACCATAGCAGATCCATAGAGGGCAATGAGCTGCTTCTTTAACTCTGAGTGAATGATCTCTGTGTAGAAGGAGTCATAAAGAAAAGCAATGCCATCCATAAAATGACTAGTAACCCAATGGTCCCCGAAGTTGTGGAAAAATAATGAATCATTTGTAGCCAGCTGAATGAGACTTAGTTTCTGAGTATACAAACACGACTGAATCATTGGCATGTCTGGGAATAGTTTTGACAGTAGTTTAGCAGTAGCTATGACATGCTTGTCTGAAAGGTGATGGGTTCCTTCTAGCTGTAAACAATCATTTTCCTGAAGATTTAATTCTTTTATCCAGTAGTTTACAGGACTAGCTGGTATCTCGTCAATGATGATGAGCAAAAGCATACCTGTATATGGGTATAACATAAAATTGATGGCACACGGTAATAAAAATGATATACATGTACCTACAAACATCTTGAAATTTTGATAACTGCAGTTTTTTCTCATCATATGACTTACACAATGTATCTTTACCCCAAAATAAAGTATGCTAGAGGTTATCTTCACAAAAAAAAGACCTGTACCAAAATTATGTTGCATCACATAAATTTCATAGCATTCAATACCCTTTGCCTTTCTGCCATGTCTTCCAGCCCTTCCAAACTGTTGGACTAATTCGTCAAATGTGCTGTATGTGAGCAACCAAGTTTAACAACCAAGTCTATATTAGGAACATCTATACCCATTCCAGGTGCAGAAGTGCACACCATTAGCTATAAATATACATAAATTTGTTATCATACACAGAATTAATGCTTAATACACTTGCTTGTGTGTCAGAGTCATCAAAACACTGATCCTCAATTATCTACAATTTGTCATGGCTAGATAAATTTTTGCCATGATAGCTACTACTATTTATTCCTTTTCCTTTTAAAGCAATTGCCAAAGCTCCAACATCTTTAACAAAGTTAGTATATACACAATGGAGCGATTGTTACCAACTACTTCAGCAAGATAGTCAGCAATAGATGTGTAGTAGTCTGTAGTACCGGTTGAAATGACATAGCATAATATAAAATGTCAATTTCTTTAACTCTTCATCATGGAGTGAAATATTTCTCTTGTTTACCATTGAAGTTTTGAGTATTGGTTCTATCATCATTGACAATTTTTTCCTTAACTTTTTGAAGTGGCAGTTGCTGTTAATGCCATTAATGATATACCAGGAAAATGAGACTTTAGATGCAAAAGCAGTCTATATTCAGTTCTAATAAAACAATAAGTTAAAATTAGAAATTTCAACTTTTTGTAGCCATATAATTATTGTATAGATGATTTTTGGACAGAAAGTTTTTGGCAGCTTTTTTGCAAGAAGCACTTTCATGATCTTACAGAGGCATTTTTGTGCCCATATAGTATATGGTAATTACTAGTGTGTATATTTAAGTGTGTGTGAGTGTGTAGTAATGCTTGTTATATCATGGCCTCTAATTGAAATTTTGCTAATCCTTATTTGGTGATATGGGCCTACGCAAAATTATTTCCACATGAAATAAACCAGCTATAGGGTAATAGCTAATGAGTTGACTGTGTAGCATACCTGAATGATTTACAACAATTTATGGGATGAGCTTCATCCACTACAATGAGACATGTTTCTTTGTTTCTGGCAATTGATAGAAAAATTTGTCATGGTTGCTGTTGCTTGTCATAGAAAGATTCTAAACAAGAGTATATTTTTACAGGTTATTTAATATGTTGTGCTTTTGAGCAGAACCGAGGAACGTAGCAGAAACACCATGCTACATACTTGATCACACATGAGACATATTGTCGATGAAATAACAATGGCCAACTTTCCAGTAAGTAATGGTAAAATAACATAGCACATTAATTTTCCTGTGCCAGTTGGTTAAACTATAAGCTGTCTTTCCCTTTGATAGCGTTTTTAATTGCATTCATCTGCCATTTATGAATACTTGAGAGCATTAAATGTTTTGCTACTAGGCTTTGAATAACTAAATGATTGTGATCAAAACTTGGGTTGAGTTCTAAACAAGTTTCATTTTAAAAATCACAAAATTCAATAATTATAAATACCTTCAAAGCAGCTATCTATGGCTTTATTGTTAAAAGGTTTTATATTGTGGCCACTTCTGTTAACATTTTTATGTCTCAATGATGAACACTTCACACAATTTGGCAGTTTACGGTCTTCACAATTGTCACTGCAGTTGTCAAATTCTTCCTAGCATTTATTAAGGATGGTATCTTGAATAGAAAAAGATGGTAAAGTATCAACATAGTAGAATCATTCTCCTGTAGCAAAGAAATATCTCCATGTTCCTTTTCTAGCCACAAAACTATCCCTTCCTTTCACTATTGTAATGTCACTTCACACCATTTCATTATCTGTTTAGCACTTTTTAAAGACATGAGTGCCTTTTGTTTTAGTACAAATAATATACAATGCATGACATATATTTAAGTCTTTAAATTAACAAAAAGTAAAATTTAAAATCAGTTATTTATTTTTCAATGATAGTGATACTATAATTATGGTAGTACACATGTAGACCATAAAAAACGGAGTTATTTAGGTTCTTCACAAATTGAATGATAAATAATCTCAGTAATTTCAAAAGCATCATCATTCCATTAAAATTATCTTAAACACACACATCTCCCTCTATCAAATCAAACTTATCTTTATAGATATGGCCTTGGCAAATGTATAATTATGTGAATATCATGTATTTTGTTTTAGAAATAAATTCCCCCAAATTAAATACGGGTAAAATAGTGCAGCTGTCACTAATTCTTACCTGTAATATTGTAGGGACAAAAAAGTGCAGCAAGCACTGATTCTTCCCTAAAGTACTATAAGGACAAATTAGTGCCTGCTGCACTATTTTGCCCCCATTTACTTTAATTGTGACAAAAAATTGCACAACGCACTAATTCTATATTGTAGGACAAAATAGTGCAGAATGCACTGATTCTTCCCTATAGTATTGTAGGGACAAAATAGTGCAGCAGGCAGCCAGGCACTAATTCTTCCTTATAGTATTTTGGGGACAAAATAGTGCTTGGCACTAATTTCTGCCTATATAGATAGGTCAAATTGTATAATGTGTATAATGTGCCTAGTCACACCATTATTAGTAACGCGGTAGCGTTACTAAGTAGGATTCACCCCCAAACAAAATGGCTGCCACGACTTTTGCAGCCTTGCTATACCTGGAAAACGAGCTCCTATGCTTACCAGATTTTATAGAGGACCTTATCTTGACCAGAGGACTCCAATGGTACAACTACCGTGGCTCTAGACCTTGTCTAAGCGAAAAGTCAAAAATCGGCGAACCGGCCGTTTTGTTCAGCCACCTTTTTTCATCTTCATCATCTTCTTCATCATCAAGTCCTGTCAATCCAGTTGTCGGTGTGTATCTCAGTATCAGTTGGTGCTACAAGAATAATTCTTACACCAATCTACTCCAACAGTCTATGCGCAGGTCCATGTCCCACCAGATTATTCTTCAAGTAAGAAAAAGTGATACTGTGACTGCTGGATCGAGCCATCTTAGCTACATGCCGCCATTTTGTTAATTAAAGAAGCTTGCCATGTGCTCCAAAATTTGGGTGTGGTCGCGCATGCTCAGATCTGCAGCTCTGGAAGAAGCAAGTTATTTTTTACCAAGCTATGCTTGGAATCGACTTACTGCAATACTCTAGTGGAGGTTTCCAGCTAAAAGAAGGTATTGATTTTACATGTTACTGTTTTATCAAGTGTGTTATTTTATTTTATTTTAAAAAACAAACAATTATTATTAATTAATGTTATGACTTATGATATGTAATGATAATTATGAACTTGACAACAGCCTGGAAGAACAGGAATAGCAGGGAAGATGGACACTCTTAGCTCACAGATTCTTGAAAAAGGACTTGTGTCAAGACTAGTATTAGTTTCACTTGTCATCAGGATAGTTGATATTCCTTCAGCATGTCTATTCAATGCTGTCTCTCA